CTGAAACCCCCATCTCCAACCACCCCTCTGCAGACCATATACCTCTCATCTCAAAAAACCAACAATCATGCACCCCCTGTTACCCAAACCCTCAAGAAGAGCACCTTGAACTTGAAACCTTTCTTCACAAGGAAATTTTGGACATCTAGAAACACACAAATTTTAAATCTAATTTAAAGATGACTCCCATATCAACCAATCCAGCCACAAGTTCTCTGTTAGCTACCTCTCTGATGAAGATTTGCCCATCTCAAAAGATCCTCAATCCCTTCAGAACCACTCAATTTTGCAAGAACAAGAAGTTTTCACCACAGTTAGCAGGAGAATATCAAAAAGGTTACAAGAAAAACTTTCAGCATGCAGTTCTTTCCCAAACAGTTTTCAATGAATTGCTTATTTTGGAACATAAATGGCATAGCCTCTAAAATCTAGAGACTAGCCATCCTCATCCAGCAACACAAGGTATCTTTTGCTTTCATCACTGAACCCAAATCCTCCATCAAGAAAATCATCAAGTTCTAACTAGAACTTGGATTCACTAATTCCATCAGCACTTCTAACAACAAAATCTGGTTATTGTGGAAGGACACCTGCTTCAACTACATAAACCACTTTGAAACAGATCAAATCCTCACTGCTCACCTAACTTACCACACTTCCAACCTGGAAGTCTTCATTAGTGGCATCTATGGGAAACACGCCATTGAAGAAAGGAAAGATCTTTGGGGTTCACTCATGGCTCACAGCAAAAAAGAGAATCAGGCCTGGATTCTTGGAGGGGATTTCAACACCATCACCTCTTTAGACCACTATAAAGGCAAAAGCTCCCCCAATCTTCAAGGTATCCAAGAATTTGATCATTGCATCATGGAAAGTGGCCTCATTTCTCCCCCATTTTCAGGCAACCCCTTTACATGGACTGGTATCAGATCCTTGGGCAGAGTCTGGAAGAGGCTAGACAGGGTTTTTGTTAACAATACCTTTCTAGACAATTTCCAAGAGATTAACTTCATGCATATTTCTAGGGGAACTTTATTTTGGTCAAAGCCTCTAACCCCACCTTTAATGGTCCAAGACCATTCAGGTTCCTCAACTACTGGCCAAATCACCCTACCTTTAAAGCTCTCATAAGCAGAAACTGGGACAAATACTCTGGAGGAGGCATGATGGGTCTTATGAACAAACTGTTCAATCTTAAAAAGGAACTTCACACTTGGAACAGGACCGTCTTTGGGAATATTTTCAACAAAACAAAAGAACTTGAATCCTCAGTGCTTGAAGCAGAACTTCTTTATGATGAAAATCCCACTACTGAAAATAGAACACATTTTCATCATAAAAAAGCACTACTTATTCAAGCAACAAATAATGAGTTCTCCTACTGGAAGCAGAAAGCAAGCATCAAATGGATTAGAGAAGGAGACTATAACACCTCCTTTTTTCATTCTCTTGTTAAAGAAAGAAGGATTTCACAAAAGATTCATAAAATCAGGTCTGAGGATGGACAGTGGATTCAAGACAAAGATGACTTGCTTAAAGAAGCCAACTTCTATTTCCAGCAACTCTACTCTAAAAAGGTCAGTGAAAATACTGAGGATTTCCTCTCACACATTCCAAAACTCCTCACTGTTGATGACAACAGTCTGCTCACCCAACTCCCTAATGAGGAAGAAGTCAAAGATGCCATCTGGAATCTGGACCCCCTAAGTGCTGCAGGCCCTAATGGATTCACTGGAGAATTCTACAAAAGCTGCTGGGACATTATCAAGGAAGATGTGGTAAAAGCAGTTCAGGAATTCTTTCTAGGAATCCCTATTCCTAAAAGTTTGAATGAATGCTCCATTATCCTGATCCCTAAGAAAGATAATCCCATCACCTTTGAAGATTTCAGGCCTATTTGTCTCTCAAATTTCATAGCCAAAGTCAATACCAAAGTTATATCTCAGAGATTAAGAAACTTACTTCCTAAATTAACCTCTGAGGAACAGGGTGGCTTTGTCGTAGGAAGGTAGATCCATGACCAAATTCTGACTGCCCAGGAGATCATCCAGAACTTGGACTACAAGACAAGGGGAGGAAATATTGCCATTAAGCTGGACATGTCCAAAGCTTTTAATAGGGTATCTTAGGACTATTTACAAGCCATTCTAGGGAAATTGGGGTTTGATCATAAATTTATCAATCTGATCCTCAATAACCTAAAAGACACTACCCTCTCCATCAACATCAATGGCTACCCTTCCAAATCTTTCCAACCCAAGAGAGGGCTCAAACAAGGAGACCCACTCTCCCCTCTTCTTTTCATTTTGGCAGCTGAAGGATTTAATAGGGGTCTGAACTACAGAGTCAACACTCTAAAGATTGAACCTTTTAACATGGGGAGACACTCACAAATCATCTCTCACCTAGCTTTTTCAGATGACCTTCTGATCTTTCTTAAAGGAACAGCTCAAAATTTGGCTAGATTCTCAAAATTCCTAAAAGCTTATGAAGATGCTTCAGGGCAGACCATAAATCTTCACAAAAGTTTTTTCTACCCTCCTAAGAAAACCCAAGTGGCACAAATCAACAGAATGGGAAATTATTTGGGCATGAAGAGAGGTTTTCTACCTTTCAAATACCTGGGAACCCAAATCCACAAAGGAATTAACAGACTCAGATATTGTACTGATTTGCTTAACCACTTTGATTACAAGCTTAAAGGTTGGTACAAAAACTTTTTATCACAAGGAGGGAGAATGATTCTCATTAAGCATGTTCTTAGTTCTATCCCACTACATCTCCTTGGCTCTTCTAAACTCTCCAAGAGTGTTATCAACTACCTTCACACTAAAATGAGCAATTTTTTATGGGGGAACAAAGAAGGGAAAAATCATTATCACCGGAAGAAGTGGGCTGCCCTTTGCTACCCAAAAGAGGAAGGAGGTCTGGGTTTCACTAACCTTGAAACCTTACAAGAAGCATATGGTCTTAAGATGTTGTGGAGCTATACTCTCAATAACTCCCTCTAGGCCAGGTTTATGCACAACAGATACCCAGCAGGTCTGGAGACAACTTGCAAACCTACTGATTCTCCTAACTGGAAGAGACTCCTTTCAGCTAAAACCATTGTTGATTCCTATGAGAATAACCCCTTCTGGGATACCCACTCTGGTTTCACTATCAGGAAAGCCTATGAAGCTCTGAGAGAGAAATCCCCCACAGAAACATTCCTAAAATCTGTGTGGCATGAAAAACAGATCCCATCTATTTCTATTTTCCTTTGGAAAATCTACTACAACATCCTCCCTTTCCCTAAACAACTCACCCGGTTTGGGCAAAACCTTCCTTCTATGTGTCTTTTTTGCGGGAACAATGAAGACAATGCGAACCACACACTCAAGGATTGTGGAAGGAGAGAAACAGAAGAACATATGACAACGAAACAAAAACTCAAACCCAAATCATCCATATGATCTGGAAAAAGTTGCTGGAATGGACAATAGTAAAAGGAAAGAGGAGAATCAGCGTCACTCACTCGTCCATCCCATTCATTCCATTACCGGCAATTCACACCTTCCCCTGGACAAGCGCAAGGGAAGGGCTGATACTCAGTACACATGTTGCGGTGAAAGATCATATCATGTGTGGAGGAGCAATCCTATGCACAGGCTCAGGAAGATTCATTGGAGCAAAGTCAGCGATTATCCAAGGAACAGAAAACAATGAAGAAGGAGAATTGGCTTCTGCACTAATGGGCCTCAAATGGGCTGTTAGTATCACAACACAACCCATCAACATCCACTTAGATGCAAAAAATGCGGTGAAACGAATCACGGAGAATAATACAGCAGCTCACTCTCGCGCACGTCACGCTCTCACTAATAACTTGTTTCGATCATTCAATGTATTAGCAGAATTACCTCCATCTGTTAGAGGGGCAATTTACTGTGACCCCCTTTGTACCTTTATTCGTATCACTTAATAAAAATTTTCTTCCAAAAAAAATGTATATGTATATGTATATATGCTTATGTATATATTTCAGATATACATATAATAAATGTTATATTATTTATTTTGTGTTAATTATATGATAATTAAAGTTGACAAAATAAATTGGAAGCTTTCTTAAAGTGCCATTCGAAATTTCCTAAGTAGAATAGGAATGGAATTTGATTTCCTTCCTAAACTCTAAAAGGTACATTCCTATTAAGAATATGAATGAGGATTATGCTTCTTATAAATAGGAGATCATCCCACCCCTTTTAGATTACTAGAATTTCGGACCTAACCATAATTTAAGAGAGAAAAATTTGTTTTGTTCTCTTAATACTTTACACCAAATATTTTATATTTTAGAAATACTCAAGAGTAAAATTACTAGCATAATTTTTCTCTAGAATGCTCTTCATTGTTCGTGTGTCTCAACTGAAGGTCATATACTTTTGTGGCTAGGTCTTGGATCAATCCATCAACCTACACATATCGTTGCTTGCTCGCCAAGAAAGGTATATTTCTTAACAATAACTTATAATAATCATAAGAGGTCCTGGGTGGATCTACAATTGGACAATAAAATTTTGTTTTCCGCTGCTCTATCCAAGCGTATTACCCAACAGTGGTATCAGAGCCGACTTATGAGAATTATAAGTTTTGTAGATCTAATTGCCGTTAGGGTTTTTGATAATTGATAAAAAAAATATGTGTATATATTTTCGAAAATTATCCAAAATTCAAGAAAGTGCCAAAATATGATTCTGGACTTTATTAAATTCGAAAATATGATTTTTGAATTAAATTTTGGATTTATTTTTATTTTCGGGTTAATCGGTTAAAAACTGTTTTAACCAATTAAAATATTTCAAAAATTCGAAAATTAAATTTTATTAAATCTGAGACTTTAAAATTATGATTTAAAGACCTCCGGACATTTAAATTTAATTTTCGGAATTGATTTCCTAATTTATAAAGTATTGTTTGATTTGTAGTTAATTTGATTAATTACAAGATTAATACAAAATAAATTATGGAAAAATAATTTTAATCATTCTGAGACTTTAAAATATGATTCTAAGAGCTCTAGAAATTTAAAATTAATTTTTGGAATTTACTTTATAATTTATAAAGTATTAGTTGATTTGTGGTTAATTTGATTAATTACAAGATAAATACAAAATAAATTAAGGAAAATAATTTTAATACCTCTGAGTTGTTAAAATATTATTTTAAGTAATATGGAAAATTAAAATAAATTTTCTATTTTTATTTTCTATTTTTCTTGATTTAAATAATCTTATTCGGTATTAATAATCTTGTCACATTTTTCGTACTAAAGCTCTGTTCGTTTTTATGACAGGTTTTGATAATGCCAAACCGCTGTGATCAAGTAGAAGATTGAACACACAAGGCGAAGAACGAAGATGAGAACAAGAGTTAAAAGAAGACCAAGAACGAAGGCTGTAGTCCTAGTGTCGTTGAGTCGGTCTTTATTGTGATCAAGACCGACACAATCTTCACACCTTGGCTCTTTAGGCTAAATTCTTTTCATTGCATCTCTTACATCATAAAAATGTTTTTCAAACATGTTTAAATCTTTAAAAACACTTGGTGTTCGCCCAAACCAAAAAACCAAGCCATCCAGCGTTCGGCTTTCAAAAACCGGCGTTCGACATTCGGTTATCGGTGTTGGTTTTTGGCGTCCGAACCAACCAAGTGGTTTTCAACATTTTATGATTGGTTTTCACTCTTTGGCATGTTTAAACAGTTATCAAACAAAACACCTTGAAAACCACCTTTTGTTTTTGGTCGTTTGGCAAAAACCATGCAAAACGGCGTAAACTTGGCTAGAAGTGGTTTTTACTCAAATGACGTGGTTTTTAAAGTGTCTCACTTGCTTTCTTAGCTAAATACATCAAATAAGTGTTTTGAACACTTGTTTTTTATTTTGGAGAACTTTGGATTTTTCGATCGGTTTTTGCATCGGTTGGCTAGGCCGTGGTTAAGGGAAAAAATAATGGGTTTTTGGCTAACCACCCACCCAGCGATGGGAAGAACTTCCCATTAATGGGTAAGCGGTCCCTTAGCCAAACAAACTTCCAGAACCATGCCAAACAGCGATGGGAAGTTCTACCCATCGCTATTAAAGCCTTGGTCCAACATCAACACAAGGCAGAACGACCTTACCTAGCGATGGGGAACTTATCCCATCGATGGGAACCCAGCGATGGTAAGGCTTAACCATCGATGGGAAGGCATGACCGTTGGATGTCATTTAAGGTTGATTCTTTCCATGTTTGGAAGTCAACCTCTCACCCAGTGATGGGAAGCTTGTACCCATCGATGGGTAGGTGATCGTTGGCTTCAAAACTAAAGGAAAATTGGCTTACCAGCGATGGGTGAGTCCAAACATCGATGGGAAGCCAATATCCTGCAGATCCTCTTTTTAATCAACCCCATAAATCAAGCAAATCACCCCTTTAATGCATTGGTCCATTGGAGCCTATTTTGGCACTATAAAAAGGGGTGTTTGGGTCTGCTTTTCTCATCAATTCGCTTCACAATTCTCCTACTTTCATTGCATTCAAACAACATTCTTTTCCATAGCTTTTTAGAGCCAATTCGTGTGAAGTTTGAGTTGTTCTTGAGCGTATTTAGTTTACTCAATGTCTACCCTAAAAGAGAGTCTCGTTCTTGAGTGCATTTGTGTTCTAAGACACGTTGAGAGAAAGTATCTCTCTTGTTTGATTCGAAGGAAGGGCTGTTTCCTTCGAAGGATTTGTTGAGGTTCGTGTAACTCGAACTCTCAAGTTGTAAGGGTTTGTTAAGCACCGTTAAGCTTAACGAGATAGTAGTGTAGCTCGAGAGAGTCTCTCGGGAGGCTGGATTAGCCACAAGTTGTGGTGAACCAGGGTAAATTCGGTGTGCCTCTTACTCTTCCCTTTACATCTCTTTTAATTTTTTAATTCCTGCAATTTCTACGATCAAACGCTATTCACCCCCCCTCTAGCATTGGTCTATTATTCTAACAATTGGTATCAGAGCCTAACTCGCGTCCAAACTTAACCGTTTGAGAGTAAAGCAATCATGGGTTCTTCTTCTAGAAATCTTTATGCAGGGATCGGAGAAGGTCAATCAACTTCTAGGCCACCACTCTTTGATGGCACCAACTACTTATATTGGAAAGAGCGGATGAGAATTTATATCCCCTCAACCAACTTCCAATTGTGGTTGGTCATCAAGAATAGCGAAGAAACGCCAATGAAGAAGGTTGGTGAAAAACTTGTCCCAAAGACCGAGGACGAATTTGATGCCGAAGACATCAAAAAGGTGGAGAACTACGCCAAGGCAATCAACATGCTGTACTGCGCGGTCAACCCCGACGATTATCACAAGATCTCTTGCTGCACCACCGCCAAAGAAAAGTGGGACAAGTTGGAGGTCACATACGAAGGTACGGACCAAGTTCGGGAAGCCAAAATTGACTTCCGAACGCAGGAGTACGAAATGTTCAGGATGAAGGAAGGAGAAAAGATCGATGACATGTTCGATCGGTTCTCCAAGATCATCAACGACCTTCATGCCCTCAAGAAGACTTACGCCAACAAAGATCTCGTGAGGAAAATCCTGCTGAGTCTTACACCCGAATGGAGATCAAAGGCCGATGCAATTTACGAATCCATCGGTGTCTCCAACGTTACCATCGACGGGTTAAGAGGTAATCTCAAAACTTATGAATATACTATTCTAACCCCATCTTTTGATGAACAAAAGAAGAAAGGAATAGCGCTCAAAGCAACCAAAGAGACGGTGGAAGAAGTCTCAAGCGATGATGACAACGAGTTCGGACTCGTCATCAAGAAATTCCACAAATTTATGAAGAAGGAATTTGAGCGCAAAGGAAGAAAGCACGACGGTCCCCCGAAGTGCTATGGCTGTGGCAAGATAGGCCACATCAAGCCGAGGTGTCCAAAAGGCAAAAACGGAAAGGACAAACCTGGCTTCAAAAAGCAAAGAGCCTATATCTCATGGGGTGGCGACTCCGGCGACGAGTCAACTGATCAGGAAGAGGATGAAGTCGCCAACCTCTGTCTCATGGCACACGAAGACCACGCCGACGAAGTACAAGAGATATGTACCATTTCTTCCGACTCTTACACTTTTGAAGAGATGCAAGAAGCAGTTCGTGAGCTTTATGATGAATTTGTTAGCGCTTCTAAAACCAACAAATCATTAAAGAAACGTCTTTCAACTCTTGAAAATGATTTTGAAAAACTAGAAAAAGATAATGAAAAGTTGAAACAAGAAAATAAATTTTATGGCAAAAGAAGCGCTGACAAACCGGAAAGCTCTTCTAGTGAATGAGAATCCTGCAAAACTTAAAAAGAAAAAGTTGCAAAACTTGAGAGTACGGTTAATAAATTCAATACCCCACACAAAGATCTTAACTTACTTCTTGACACTATGCACTTTTCTAAGGAAGGATTAGGTTTTGATAAAAACAAATCTAAGGATAAAAACGTTGAGCAAACACCTAGAAAACCTCCAAAGGCTCAACATAAGAAAATTAAAAATCAGAATAATAGAAAATCTAGTCAACCTAAGGACACTAGACAACCTAGACAAAAACCTAGGAATGAAAATGTACATGATTGACAACCTAGGAAAAATTATCGAAATGAATTTGTACATAAAAATAATTTTTCAAATAGACAAAATAATGCTAGGACACCTAGAAGAGAGAATTTTCAAAAACCAATATTTTCTCAAAATAGGATGAATATGGTTAGGCCCCCTAGCAACCATTATCAACCTAGGAGGATGCACAACCCAAACGTAGTTTGTCATTATTGCAATAGGGTAGGACATATAGCTCCCGTTTGCTTTACTAGGCATAGGCATTGGACACAAAATGAATCACACTACCATTTTGCACCTAACACTCAAGGACCCAAAAAGACTTGGGTACCTCAATCTTATTAAATCATTTTTGTAGGTGTGCTTGAAGGCGTCAAGTGTACTTTGGTACCTTGATAGCGGATGCTCCAAGCTCATGACTAGAGATGCATCCAAGTTCTTACAAATTAAACCCGCTAAAGGAGGAAACGTAGTCTTTGGAGATAATAACAAAGGAAAAATTATTGGCATCGGTTCGGTAGGTAAGTCCGAAGACTCTTCTATAGATAATGTCTTGCTAGTTAAAGGTTTTAAACACAATCTCTTGAGCATAAGTCAATTATGTGACAAGGGGAACCGTGTGACCTTCGATTCAAAATCATGCACGGTAGAACGCCTTAGTGACAATAAGGTCATTCTACGTGGTGATAGAATCGATAACATATATATGGTTAACTTAGACAAATCTCCTGCCGGCTTTGCTAAATGCCTCATGAGTAAAGAGGAAGACACTTGGTTATGGCACCGAAGGGTAGCTCATATGAACATGAACCTTTTGAACAAATTGGTTTCACAAGACTTAGTAATTGGCATCCCAAAACTTAAATTTGAAAAAGACACCATATGTGATGCATGTCAAAAGGGGAAGCAAGTTCGGGCTTCGTTTAAGTCTAAGAACATTGTTTCAACGTCTAGACCGCTTCAACTTTTGCACATGGATCTCTTTTGTCCTTCTAGAACAAAAAGTTTTGGTGGTAATTACTTTGCGTTTGTGATTGTCGATGACTACTCTAGGTTTACATGGACCTTGTTTCTAACTCACAAAAGTGAGGCATTTCACGTTTTCAAAAATTTTCTAAAGAAAGATCAAAATGAAAAAGAAACAACCATAGTAACCATTAGAAGCGACCTTGGGGGAGAGTTCGAACGAAATCTATTCTCAGATTTATGTGACGAACTCGGCATTGATCATAATTTCTCAGCCCCACATACACCACAAAAAATGGAGTGGTGGAACGTAAAAATAGATCTCTCGAAGAGATGGCTAGAACTATGATCAATGAGGCAAAAATCCCTAAGTATTTTTGGGCGGATGCCGTGAGTACCGCGAGCTACGTGTTAAACCGAGCCGTCATTTGACCGATACTCATGAAAACGCCTTATGAACTATACAAAGGGAGAAAGCCAAACCTTTCCCATATTCGAGTCTTTGGTTGCAAATGTTTTATTCATAGCAATGGCAAAGATAACTTAGGAAAATTTGATGCCAAGTCGGATGAAGGAATTTTTCTGGGTTATTCACTTCGTAGCAAGGCCTATAGAGTCTTTAATAAATGCACCTTGACTATTGAGGAGCCCCCTCACGTTGAAGACGATGAAGACGATGAAGAGAACACGGGAATATACACCAACACGCAGCTGCAAATTGGGGAGATGCCTCAAGCGACTAACCAAGGTGAAGAAGAAAATCAAGAGGAAGAAGAAGAACAAAAGGAACATGAAGAAGAAGCAACCGAGCTTCCCATTGCATGGAGAACGAACAAGAACCATCCGCTTCACCAGGTAATCGATAGCATCAATCGCGGGGTAAGTACTCGAAACTCACTTAGGGACACCGTAGGACACATGGCTTTCGTTTCTAAAATTGAACCTACAACCATCTCCGAAGCAAGAAACGATGAACATTGGACCTTGGCTATGCAAGAGGAGCTAAACCAATTCAAACGGAATGACGTTTGGGAATTTGTGCCAAGGCCCAATGATTGTACGATTATTGGTACGAAATGGGTGTTCCGTAACAAACTTGATGAAAATGGAATAATCACTAGAAACAAAGCTAGGCTCATAGCTAAAGGCTACAATCAAGAAGAAGGCATTGATTTCGAAGAAACTTATGCACCTGTAGCACGTTTAGAAGCTATTCGTTTACTTCTTGCTTTTGCTTCGTCTATGGATTTTAAACTTTATCAAATGGATTTTAAGAGTGCCTTCCTCAATGGTTTTATTCAAGAGGAAGTGTATGTTGACCAGCCCCCGCGGTTTGAAGACTTTGAGTTTCCCGACCATGTCTTCAAACTCAAGAAAGCGCTCTACGGTCTTAAACAAGCACCCCGTGCTTGGTACGAATGTTTGAGTAAATTTCTTTTGGATAGTGGTTTCCAAAGGGGAATGGTTGACGCTACACTTTTTATCAAGAGTAAAAACAATAACATCCTTTTGGTTCAAGTTTATGTAGACGATATTATATTCAGTGCTACTAACGAATCTTTGTGTAAGGAATTCTAAACGTTAATGACAATTGAATTCGAAATGTCAATGATGGGCGAGCTCACGTTCTTTTTGGGACTCCAAGTCAAGCAAATGAAAGATGGCACGTTCATTTGCCAAACTAAATACTGCAAGGAGCTCCAAAAACGGTTCGAAATGGACAACGCCAAGGCCATGGCCACCCCGATGAGCACGTCTGACCATCTAGACAAAGACGAGAAATGTAAGGAAGTAGAAGTCAAAAAGTATCGAGGTATGATCGGATCCCTTCTTTATCTTACCGCTAGTAGGCCGGATATCACACTTAACGGGGGTGAAACGGATCATGAAATACCTTGTTGGCACGGTTAACGTTGGACTGTGGTATCCAAAAGGCTCTTTGTGTCATCTTGTTGGTTATTCCGACTCTGACTTTGCCGGTTGCAAATTAGACCGTAAGAGTACGAGTGGGACTTGCCACTTACTTGGTAGCTCTGTAGTTTCATGGTTTAGTAAGAAACAAGTCAGTGTTGCGTTATCCACAACAGAAGCGGAATACGTTGCCTCCGGTATATGTTGTGCTCAAATCCTTTGGATGAAGCAACAACTCGTGGACTATGGCCTTAGTATCAGTCACGTTCCACTTCGGTGTGACAATACTAGCGCCATAAGCTTGACGAAGAACCCCGTTCTTCACTCAAGGACGAAACACATTGACATTAGGCAAACGTTCATTAGAGATCATGTTCTCAAAGGTATTAGCCGACGTTTTCACAAAACCATTAGAGAAAGAGTCGTTCTTCCGCATTCGTAGTGAAATCAGAATCCTTGACTCCACGATGATCTAATTTGTGCATTTTATCACTCTTTTATCTTTGCTTGAACGTTTACTAACTTGAGCGTCAGAGGGTTTTCGAACACTTTTTTGCAGGGACGGTTCGAGGTGAAGGAATCCGGAAGTCAGGGGGAACCAGCGACGGGTGGGTTATCTTTGCAGGGACGGTTTTCTTTTTTCCAGAACCCCTCTTCCCATCGATGGGTACTTTCTCCCATCGATGGGTAATTGACTCTATTTTTTAAAAAAAAATTTAACGGATTTCCAGAAACCCTTTACCCATCGATGGGTATTTTATCCCATCGCTGGGTGAATGACTTGTGTTTCAAAAATTTTTCTAGAACCTCCCCACCCATCGATGGGAACTTCCTCCCATCGCTGGGTGTTTGACACTATTTTTTTAAAGGTTTTAACAGATTTCCAGACGCCACCTTCCCATCGATGGGAGAATCCTAATATCGCTGGGAAGGCAGTCTTGTTTTCTCCTTCACTTTCCAGTGGCGACCTTCCCATCGATGGGAAGATCTACCCATCGCTGGGATGATTAGTGTGATTCAAATTTTCGGAGCCGTTGGGCACCCCATTAATTGCCCAACAGCTATATTTTTTGAATCCAAACAACCTAATCCTCTCTTCCCTATATATATTCATCATATTTGTTCATTCTAATACACCATTAACATCATAATTTCACTCCTTCATCCAAATCTACATATTTGATCTCTCTTTCTTCAAAACTGCCTCAGCAATGGCCGGTGGAAAATCCAAATCGAAGGCCTCCAAAAAGAAGGGCAACGCCGAAGCTACGACCTCACCGCCCCCACAGTTTCCCTATCTCGACGGCTCCTTCCTTGAGTTCGGGTCGGAGGAGGAACTCACCCGGTTCCTCACGCACTTCGCCAAGCGCCCGATCTATCCGCCTCGCGTGCTCCCGGAGTTGTTCCCCCAACAAAAGGGGTACCACGACCTCGACAATCAACTCAAAGAGTCGGGTTTGTGGCCCTTCGTCTCCAAGAGCCGCACCTCCTTCAATCCCGCCTATGTCTAGGCCTTCTACTCCAATCTCCGCCGGGACGAGGACACCATCCGCAGTAGCATCAATCTCTACGACATGGAGATTGATTTGCCTACCTTTGCTCGGGTCGCAGGGCTGCCCATTTGCGGTGACGACATCGCGACGTATGGTGGCGACGATTGGATCCTCAACAACGAGGCCGTCATCATCCGTGAGCTCGGGATCACCAACTTGATCCGTCATAGCGGCGCACCAACGATTCACTTAGCCCCACCGGAGAAGCGCCTCCTCCTCTACATCCTCACCCGGATCCTCTGCCCCCGGGATGGCAGCCACACCTTGCTATTCAACGAGGACTTGAAGGCGATTCATGCGATCATGCACGGCGCCTCCAACAATTGGGTGAAATTCGTCATGCTTCACATGATGGATTGCGCTTCCATCATCAACGAGCGGAGCTTGCCGTACGCCTTCCTCGTCATGGACCTCATCGTCTCCGCCGACATCCACATCGTCGGGCCAAGCACGAAGATGACAAAGCTTTGGATCATTGCCGAAAACACCTTCAAGAAGAAGTTCGGAACCTGAGACGGCGCCAGACCGAGTCGTGCCCGTGCCCGTGCCCCTGCCCCCGCTCCTGCTCGGGCCTCGTTGCAGTCCATAGCCGACACCCTAAATCGGCTAACCCTCACAGTGGACAGCATGGGGCAGTACATGGAGAGGATGGACAAGACACTTCAACGCCAACACCACGACATGAGGGCGTTCTTCCGCGGCATCAACTACATCCCGCGCCCTTCGACAGCACCATCCTTGGCCAAAACTTTGAAGGCGAGGATGAGGACGACGACATCTACGCTCCGTCTTCCTCCCCCGATGAGGCCGACTTTGAGGACGCGATGGACGGCGATCTCATGGACGTCGAGGACAACGAGGATGACGACGAGGACGACGAAGCCAACTCCTAGACTCTTTTTATTCCTCTTCCATTATGATTGTTCTTCTTTTAATTTTCATTCCGTTGTATTCCGCATTTCCCTTTTGTTTTAATGAATAAAAGTTTACTTTGAATTCTAAAGTTCACTTTTAATTCTTTTTGTTAATGTCAAAAGGGGGAAGATATAAAGGTTATACATAAATTAAGAGGGAATTTTTTTTCTCATCACAAATACTTTGTTGAAAATAAAATTGCATTTATTAAGGGGAACATTTTTTTAAGTCTCAAAATAATCCTCTTATGTATAACTTCGCCTTGTTTGCCATTATCAAAAAGGGGAAATTGTTGAAACACGGGCTTGTCACGTTTTCGTACTAAAGCCGTGTTCATTTTTATGATAGGTTTTGAACATTGAACACACAAGGCGAAGAACGAAGATGAGAAAAAGAGCTAAAAGAAGACCAAGAACGAAGACCGTAGTCTTAGTGTCGTTGAGTCGGTCTTTATTGTGATCAAGACCGACACAATCTTTACTCCTTGGCTCTTTAGGCTAAATTCTTTTTATTGCATCTCTTACATCATAAAAATGTTTTTCAAACATGTTTAAATCTTTAAAAACACTTGGTGTTCGCCCAAGCCAAAAAACCAAGCCATCCGGCGTTCGGCATTCGGTTATCGGCGTTGGTTTTTGGCGTCCGAACCAACCAAGTGTTTTTCAACATTTTATGATTTTTTCACTCTTTGGCATGTTTAAACAGTTCTCAAACAAAAACACCTTGAAAACCACCATTCATTTTTTGGTCGTTTGGCAAAAACCATGCAAAACGGCGTAAACTTGGCTATCCGTGGTTTTTACTCAAATGACGTGGTTTTTTAAAGTGTCTCACTTGATTTCTTAGCTAAATACATCAAATAAGGGTTTTGACCACTTGGTTCTTATTTTGGAGAACTTTGGATTTTTCGGTCGATTTTTGCATCGGTTGGCTAGGCCGTGGTTAAGGCAAAAACCATGGGTTTTTGGCTAACCACCCACCCAGCGACGGGAAGAACTTCCCATCGATGGGTAAGCGGTCCCTTAGCCAAACCAACTTCCAGAACCATTCCAAATAGTGATGGGAAGTTCTACCCATCGCTGTTAAAGCCTTGGTCCAACATCAACACAAGGCAAAACGACCTTACCCAGCGATGGGGAACTTATCCCATCGATGGGAACCCAGCGATGGTAAGGCTTAACCATCGATGGGAAGGCATGACCGTTGGAAGTCATTTAAGGTTGATTCTTTCCTTCTTTGGAAGTCAACCTCCCACCTAGCAATGGGAAGCTTGTACCCATCGATGGGTAGGTGACCGTTGGCTTCAAAATTGAAGGAAAATTGGCTTACCACCGATGGGTGAGTCCAAAGATTGATGGGAAGCCAATATCCTGCAGATCATCTTTTTAATCAACCCCATAAATCAAGCAAATCACCCCTTTAATGCATTGGTCCGTTGGAGCCTATTTTGGCACTATAAAAAGGGGTGTTTGGGTCTGCTTTTCTCATCAATTCGCTTCACAATTCTCCTACTTTCATTGCACTCAAACAACATTCTTTTCCATAGCTTTTTAGAGCCAATTCGTGTGAAGTTTGAGTTGTTCTTGAGCGTATTTAGTTTACTCAATATCTACCCTAAAAGAGAGTCTCGTTCTTGAGTGCATTTGTGTTTTAAGACACGTTGAGAGAAAGTATTTCTCTCGTTTGATTCGAAGGAAGGGTTGTTTCCTTCGAAGGATTCGTTCAGGTTTGTGTGACGCGAACTCTCAAGTTGTAAGGGTTTGTTAAGCACCGTTAAGCAAACGAGATAGTAGTGTAGCTCGAGAGAGTCTCTCGGGAGGCTGGATTAGCCACAAGTTGTGGTGAACCAGGGTAAATTCGGTGTGCCTCTTACTCTTCTCTTTACATCTCTTTTAATTTTTTAATTCCTGCGATTTCTACGATCAAACGCTATTCACCCCTCTCTAGCGTTGGTCTATTATTCTAACACATATGATTTTCAGACTGCACAAAATTTTAAATTATGGAAATTTAATATTTGGTATTAATATAATAATATTCTAAGAGTACTTATTTTTGGAACAATTATGCTACACGAAAATAATTTTAGAAATTGTGTTTTGGATTACCAAATAATAAATGGAAAGTACCGAAAATAAATTTAAGTAAAATCTGGAAAATTTTGTTTTCAGATTGTACATGAGTCAAAAACTTTATTTCTGGAAAATATTGATTTTTGGAATATTTGGAATATTCTAAATTAATTTTGGTAACAAATTACAAGATACCAAAAATAAAATTTATTTAATTCTGGAAATTTGATTTTCAGAACAATACGGACCCAAAGTGAATATTTTGGAAAATATTAATTTTTGGAAACTCGGAATTAATTTTTGGAAAATAGAAGTCCAATTTTGGGTATTTGAATAAAGAATTTCAAAAATAAATTTTATAAATTCTGGAAATTTTATTTTTAGACTTATAAAATCATAATACACATTCTGGTGTTTATTTATTAATTTTCAAAAGGTATAAGTATTTATTTGGAATTAAAATCCCAATTTCAAAATTAATGCCTATATTTATGATAATTAACTATTTTAAAATTCAGGATAATTCCAAATTAAATTTTGGATATTCTGGAGTTTTAAAATAAATTTAAATAAAATTATTTGATAATTTTTTAGGCTTGTAGTTTATTTTTCTTATTTTTCTTATGCATGTGATGTATGAATGTATGCATGGTGCGTGGTTGTGGCTTAGAATCATTGGTTTTTAAATACGGTCTGCGTGTCGTGCCTCATATATGAATTCTGGTTGTAAATCTCTTTTTAAACCTCATACCCCTTGCTTACAAAGCAAGGATTCTTTTCTCTCGATTAAACAAAGAAGTCCATGAAGAAGCAATGAAGATGATGGAGCCAAGAAGAAGGGGACACTAACAAGTAAGGGCTGAACTTGAAGACTAAAGCATTCTTAAAGAAAGAAGGTGAAGCTGGAGATAGAGATCTCAAGTGAAGGCTTTATCATTAGTTGTTTAGGAGGCCACAACCATGTCACGTTTTATTCATTATACATGTTTGTAAATATGTTTGTATGATATTCGCTAAAGTATGTGCGCGACACATGCCATAGGTGAAATCACGTTTAAAATCCCTCGTAATATTAAGTTTGTGCCTTCCGACGCCGACTCACTCGTCGATAACAGTTTCGACCAGTCAACGGACACGTCAAAGTGGGACGGCTGGTTTACATTGGTATGACACAAAATCCGTAACAATGGATATTGAGTACGCCCCAGGTTGAACTTAACTAAGTTAAGATAAAAAGATGAATAACTTAGAGGCACATGGTTAGGTTAATAAATAAAATCAAATTCATCTAACCTAGAGTTGTAAAATGTTAAAATTGGAAATAGTTCCTACCTGAAATAGTTTAACTATAGGGAAAGATATAAACAACAACTATAGTTAGATGAAATAAGGATCTAGGCCCAATATAGGATTTTATTTAGAACAACCTAACAAACCAAGGATTGTAATTGGATCACAATTGGAAATAAGTTCCTACTTAATTAGTTAATTATAGGGCAAGATGCAAAACACAACTATAGTTAAATGTAATATGGACCTTGGCCCACTAAGATATCTCTTTAGGAGAAGTCTCGAATCAACAGGTTACGTACATGAGGGTAGTTGATTTGTTAAAATTGTTGGAGAGTTATTAGTTAAAGACCTAGCTAATCACTTAGATTCTTGATATTAACTATCTTGCAAACTATATGTAGATGTCTAATAAAAACCATAACCTCACTCTTTGCTCGATCCTCGACAAAGATAAGTTGACCGGCTCTAACTTCTTAGACTCGCAAAGAAACCTTGTTATCGTTCTTCGACTCGAGAAGAAAGAATATGTGCTCGAACGAGCCATCCCACCTGTCCCGGCTGCCAATGCTTCTAGAGCAATCAAGGATACTTATGAGAAGCATGTTGATGATGAAATGAGGTGGCATGTCTCATGTTGGCTAAGATGACTTCTGACCTTCAGAAACATCATGAGAGTATGAAGGCATA